CGTTCCGATTGGCTTACAGCCCACGCGTAAGCCAGCGTCTCGACGTTTGTTTGAACGTGTGTTGAACGTTGTGTTGAACGTTGCACGAATGTCGTAACACGGGGAAGGTGAGGTGACGTGGGCGCCACGTTGGTGAGATGTTAACTACCTCGCCTAGTATACAGGAGGTCTTGGGTTCGATTCCGACCCTGGCGCCTGGTTTACATTTCGAGTTTGCGGTGTCTCTCTCTCCCGGTGGTCGCGTGGATTTATCTCCAGGCCCTCCGGGTTTTCCCTCCAGATTTAGAATCGACATGAGTTTAGAGTATTTTGCTGCGATACATTTGCACGTGACAAGCCACTTCGTTGAGCTATCATTTGTCGCCAGGTCTCTTCTGAAAAAGAGCTAGAAAGCTAAGTGGGCCTTACATGGTAAAATAAAAAAATATAGTTTTAATAGTTTAATAGAATGAGAATGGCTTTTTCGTGTTTTACTGTACCGCCTCCAAACACACACACACATCCCGGTAAATTAGCGGTAGTTTGTGGTGATTAGCAGGGCCGCCATATTTAGTTTACAGTAGATTGGTTAATCCAGATTGTTTTTCCAGGTCTTTCTCCAGATTATTTTATCGAGGTGTTTATCCAGATTGGTTTTTCCAGGTGTTTTATCCAGATTGGTTTATCTAGGTGAGAACTCATGATAACTGGAGATTCTCAGGAGTTTTATTTGCAAAAGAGGTCAAAACTGAGTTAAACAACCTTTAAACATAAGAAAAGTACTGTGCAAGAAAAATCAAACAGAATTGGAGCTGAACAACTGCGTTTCATGAGAATTTAAATATGCCGCTCAATAGAAATAGAAATGCATGATTATCAATATTAAATCAACTAACATTTCCTCTCGTAGAAATAGGTTTCTGCAGCCGAATTCCTTTGAAAACATCAAAAGTAAAAAACATTTAGAAGTAAAACTAATAATGGTAGTGATGATTATTACGATGATGACATAGTCACCTAATCTGTTCAATGTTTAGCGGCTGTTAAAAGTGTATCGAACCATTGACCGTCGCAATACGCGCAAACGTGCACACGAGAATATATTATTTATGCCTCTTAACAAATGTTATGCAACTACTATCCATATTTGAAGTTTTCGTGACTGCAGGGATCCATACTCTTTGGTTCTTTCGGTAAAGTCACGTGGGTAGAAAATAAAACAAATAAAATAAAATAAATTAAATCAGCAAAAACATTTGCTTGCTGTGGTTTTCCCACCTGATGATGATTGCTTGTGTTGCAATCGAAACGTCGTGATTTTATTGATTTTATTTTATACCTACGTGACTTTACCGAAAGAACCAAAGAGTACTATCCATCGTTCAATGTACAAGCGGTTTAAATGGGTGCGGCACAGGCGACGAGGAGGGTTGGGTATAGGCTGCCGCGTGGATACCGTGCAGGAAAAACGTCGCACGTTGCACGAGGAGCGTCAGCGCCACGTTGCAAGCGACAGCGCCCCTAAAACACAACGTGAGACAAATGCCTTAGGAGCATAAACCACACTGAGAATTAACAACGTTGATTGAAAACTAATCTTCGGTTGAAAACTAGTTTCTTGTCCCCCCCCCTGCCCGCACCTCTAATTAGCACGCTTTGCTACGTACGGTGTGAAAGAAGTTCAACATACGTAAAACACGAAACAACTGCCTTACTTACTCGAATCACGCCGTTACACGGACATGAAGCAAATGTCTCACTAATGTGACAGCATTTCCTGCGGCGACTTCGTTGTGCACGAAGCACACAGTGGACGCATCGAATGTCAAACTCCCAATTTCAATTTGACTTTTGCCCAACCACGGCACTGTCGTGCGACTTCCAAGAGCTCAGACTCCCAATCCTGGAACATTCGGAGAACGTTTCAGAATCAGAATATGTATCTATACTGGAGGAATCCGATGAGCGATAAAGCTATTTTTTTGACAGATGCCTAGGAGTATGATGGGTGCTGTTCGTGTTTTAATAGCCCCCCTCTGTATATTCACTTCCTTCCCTTGACCCTTACCACCACCCAATGCCAAACACTCCACTGATATTCCATCGACCTTAGTTATCTCGGTTCTGACTTGTAAATGTGATATAGCAATCTTAACATCTGTATCTTATATATAAAACGAGACGCCTTTAATTTCGGCACTGTAACTGGCAGTTGCTCTAGATTTATTGACCAAATCACCCTGCAGTTATTTATCACAGTGCCACAATATTGCATTTCAACCATTGTAAAGTAGTATATATATACATAAAATGTATTTTATACGGAGATGGAGCGGAATTAAATTTGTTTACGTGCAGGCGCTGGGGTGGATTGTCAACACCGCAGGATTGTGTGAGGCGGCTTTGGGAAGGCCTTAATCCAGCAGGGGATCGAACATGGCTACTGCTGTTGCTGGTGATATTTTTTTCCGGACACCTTAACATCTGTGGCCGTGGGCTGGAGGCCCCAAAATCCCAGACCTTAATCCGGCCCTGGATTGTGGCTGTTTGTGGCGCGCATGGCCACAGCAAGGCTTTGTTATAAATAGGACATCAAGGAGCAAACTTGTCAGAGTGGGTTAAGCCTCCATCTGGTTTGACGAAACTGCCTAATGAAGTGTGGCCTACCCCTGCTTGGGTGGCCATCTGGAACGTGGAAGAGGGTGGTGGTTGGTTGGGGAGGAAGAGGAGGGGGGGGGAGGAAATGGGAGGAGGGCGACTTTTATTTTGAAGGGGCTCTTCGTGGCCAGACAACTCCGGTGCAAATGTCGAATGTGGCCACAAGGTGTCGCTACACCTCCGTTGACGAGGCGCTGGATTTGGAGCAACATTTTTTTTTTAAACAAATGTAACGCAGTTTGCAGCCTTGGTCCGTTTGCCAAAAATAAATAAAAATGTAGCTTATCGGTACCACCCAGGTTGGCAGATGCTGACAACGATTTTTCTTAAATCATTGTATCTCTACATTACACATTTGTCGGATAGCAAGGTCATGGTGGTAGCTCTTAATGAGACAAAGGTTGTTAAAAAAGGGGTACATTTCAAGCGAGGATATACTGGGTAAACATGAAATAGTTGGCGCACGTTGGGCCAACGTCGTTAACTGCGTAGTTTCCGAAAAAAATAAACGCGCTTTGAAACGTTTACAAAATATTTAAATATAAATGTGTGCCTGCCTATAAAACAGACATGCAAGTAAGCCGTGCTCTCTGCAAATGTTGACCACTGCCTGCGGTGGATGCAAGTCGTCTTTATCACCTCAAGTGATAGCAACCAACCAACCAACCAACCCAGCCTCATATCATTTATGGAAAATTGTCTCGACGCTCTGACACGGCCATTGCGTGCCACCCAAGAGAGCGAGCAAGCGAGATCACCAGTTATATGGCTTGAGCACAGAACCTCAGTCGCGCTGGATAATTGCTCTGACACGGCCATCGTGAGCTCCCTGAGAGCTGCCCGGTTACCGTGGATTAAACCTACAGCACCTATACCAGCGTTGTGACAGCACCCTGAGGAATCACTCTCTAAGCGATTAGATGCATTCCTCGTGATTCGGGGCTTGCGATAGCGATGAAAGCATTTGATGTATCCCTTGTCGTTTCATTCGTATTGTTGATCTTTTATCCAGCCTTGTTTTTATACAATTTTTTTTTTATTTGTGACGCTATTTCCTAATTGGCAGTGGTTTATGTATGTATGTATGTTGAACTTCTATTGCACCGTGCGTAGCGAAACGTGCTAATCGGAGGTGCGGGCGGAAGGACAACAAAACTAAACACAAAAAGCTGCTCTGACGAGATGAGTTTTCAATTTAGAAAATTATTTTCAATTTAACTGACTGCCCTCTGCGGCCCTGAACGTGTTCCCGTAGCAGCCTAAAACACCCGCTTTTATGCAGAGTAGTCGCTATACATCACAAAGTACGAATACAACTCGGTTTAACTCAATGAATCAATGCACAGTTACACAACAAATCTCGAGATACCCGTGGGGAGAGGGACAACCGGAACCCTCCGGACTTGAGATGGTATGCAAGTATGTTGGACTTCTTTCGTACTGTACGTCGCAAAACCGTGCCAATCGGAGGTGCGGGGTAGTTGCCAACCCCCGTGCTCTGACATGGTGCCAATGCCTCATCTTTAGTACGGCTTTTGTGGAGAGAAAGAAGGGATTTTGCCATCCAATTGCTTTGTCTGAGAGTTGGTCAATTGCAGACCCACCTCCTGAGCGTGCGTGTCTCGGGCCGCGCGATGTTACGCGCTCCTCCGCGGTTTGTTGTTGGCAAGGGGGAAAAGTCTTGGATTCTCCGCTCGTGCGTTCGACGTTTCGCATCTTCTGCGCTTGGCGCCGATCCGGTTAATTCACTGCCCATTGCTTCCGTGGAAGGTGGAAGCCAGGCAGGGTGGCCGTGGGCTCGCTGATGAGCTGTGTGTAGCGTTTAGGTGGAAGGCCGGGCAAGACCAAGAACTGGTCCATGGCATTTCGATGCTGAATATCTGTGGGGACATGGCCATTGTGAGTCTTTAGAGCCACCTAGTCAATGCCTGTGGGCGCTGGAAGTGACAGGGAACGGTGGTGTAGCGGGTAGCGCTACGCTGCTCGATGAACCCGGCGACCCTAGTTCGATTCCCGCTCACGGCCGACACCAGTGACGATTTTCTAAACCGATTATCTAAACCGGTCATGGGCCTCCCCCTAGGTCGACTCAGCCGCGAAAGTGTACTTGCCATGGTGTGTAAACATCGCCACTGGGGAGACAAAGGCGGCCGGGCATTGTGCTGGCCACCCACACTCTCGTGTGCCGTGCCGGCGTTCTTCGCTGCTTGCTAACAGCACTTGCCCCAACAGTCTGTTAAGGCTACACGGGAAGCCTTTGCTCCCTTTCTCACCTGCCTCGACGTTGTTTTACCTGCCTGTGTCTCCTCCCCCCCCCCCATCTCTTACCCCCCCATCTCTTACCCCCCCACCACGTGGCTCAGCAGGTAGTAGAAGTATGATGCTGCCCTGGTCTGCGAAGGACTGCGGACCGCTGTCCATTCCCCTGCTGCTGAGCCTCCTGGTGCTGGCCGGGGCACCCATGGCGAGAGGCTCCAGCCACCACAGAGGCCCTGGTGAGAGTGGGGTGGGGTGAAGGGGAGAGTGGGGTGGGGTGAAGGGGAGAGTGGGGTGGTGTGAAGGGGAGAGTGAGGTGGGGTGAAGGGGAGAGTGGGGTGGGGTGAAGGGGAGAGTGGGGTGGGGTGAAGGGGTGAGTGGGGTGGGGTGAAGGGGAGAGTGGGGTGGGGTGAAGGGGAGAGTGGGGTGGGGTGAAGGGGAGAGTGGGGTGGTGTGAAGGGGAGAGTGAGGTGGGGTGAAGGGGAGAGTGGGGTGGGGTGAAGGGGAGAGTGAGGTGGGGTGAAAGGGAGAGTGAGGTGGGGTGAAGGGGAGAGTGGGGTGGGGTGAAGGGGAGAGTGGGGTGGGGTGAAAGGGAGAGTGAGGTGGGGTGAAGGGGAGAGTGGGGTGGGGTGAAGGGGAGAGTGGGGGGGGGTGAAGGGGAGAGTGAGGTGGGGTGAAAGGGAGAGTGAGGTGGGGTGAAGGGGAGAGTGGGGTGGGGTGAAGGGGAGAGTGGGGTGGGGTGAAGGGGAGAGTGGGGTGGGGTGAAGGGGAGAGTGAGGTGGGGTGAAAGGGAGAGTGAGGTGGGGTGAAGGGGAGAGTGGGGTGGGGTGAAGGGGAGAGTGGGGTGGGGTGAAGGGGAGAGTGGGGTGGTGTGAAGGGGAGAGTGGGGTGAGGTGAAGGGGTGAGTGGGGTGGGGTGAAAGTGGGGTAGGGTGAAGGGGAGAGTGGGGTGGGGTGAAGGGGAGAGTGGGGTAGGGTGAAGGGGAGAGTGGGGTGGTGTGAAGGGGAGAGTGGGGTGAGGTGAAGGGGAGAGTGGGGTGGGGTGAAAGTGGGGTAGGGTGAAGGGGAGAGTGGGGTGGGGTGAAGGGGAGAGTGAGGTGGGGTGAAGGGGTGAGTGGGGTGGGGTGAAGGGGAGAGTAGGGTGGTGTGAAGGGGTGAGTGGGGTGGTGTGAAGGGGTGAGTGACGGTGCGGTGTGTGAGGGTGACGGTGCCAATAATCCGTCTTTCAGAACGAGTAGCCCATTGCGTTGCTGGCGCCATGGCCCGAATTTGACAAATTCTGAAAATTGCAAATGCAACCCAGTTGGGATTTCCAAATGCCCATCGCCTCCCTACTGTGGGACCACTGCAGACTCTCTCTCTGGAACGCAGCGTCTTCACCATGATAGCTCTTGAGTTATAAGAATCGCTCGAATACCAAACGCACTAAACGTTTGTATTGTCATCATTATTATTATCATCATCACAGCCTTTAGAGGTGCAGTGGATTTTGGTGCCACCGTTTGTTGCAGTTTGTTGCTTTCTGGAAAACCCTGCAACTATAGACAAGACAGCGAGCGGCTTACAAGCATTATGGTGCTGATGTCACGTGACCTGCCAGTCGACGAACTGATCCTATAGTCTCAGTTGCGCCTTTTGCTGTCCAGAAATCACCTTCAGCGCGCGTTATCACTGAAATCCTGACACTTGCACGGCTCACACTCGACCATCAAGATATGTGCCCCGAAACAGCGAGGGCGTAAATTTTTTTTAAAGCTTTCGTGACTGCAGGGATTCATATTCTTGGTTCTTTCGGTACAGTCACGTAGAAGGCAAACAAAATAAATAAAAAAATATATAATAATAAAATTCTCACGACGTTTCGACTGCAACACAAGCAATCATCATCAGGTGTGAAAACCACAGCAAGAAAATTAGAAAAAAGTGGCGTTTTTTAACGTTAGCACCACGGAGAGTGATTTGGCAGTTATTCAGATGGACGAGTCCATCTATGTTCGGAAAAGAGGAGGGGGGAGACGAAAATAATGGATGTGGTCTGAAAGCCACCATAAGCATAAACAATCAATTAAGACCCGAAATAGTTTATCAAATCCTTCCAATGATTGCTAAGCCAGAATCCATCTTCTCGGTTGAAATTGTCTCTGTGTTTGTATATGTGGATAGCCTCATGAACGAATCTCTCATGGTAGCCAGATGGCTTGCAGAGAACCTCTGTCTTGGAGAAGTCAATGTCATGTGAGCCTACTGAATTATAACAGTGATCTGCCACGGCCGAAGTGTTGGTCCTACTGTGTTTTAGGTCTGCTTTGTGTTCACGCATGCGGTCCGAGACATGTCATTTGGTTTCTCCAATGTAACTACTACCACAGAGGCAACTTAGTTTGTAGATGCCAGGGTACTGTATGTCCGGAATCACATCTTTTACAGATGGAACCAGATCAAAGATTTTATGTAATGTGTTGAATCGGACCTGGATCTTGTGTTTATTCAAGATTTTGGAGGTCTTTTTTGTGATCCCCGCAATGTAGGGTAAAGCGACATTGAATGTTATTTTGAAATCCAGGATTGGCTTCGAAACCGGTGGAAGGGATCTGGAGATCTCCCGTCTCAATACTAAACTTTTTATTTAACAGGTAAGGCCCACTGAGTTATATAGCTCTTTTTCAGAAGCGACCTGGTCACAAATGATTGTTCAATGAAGTGGCTTATCATGTAGATATTTATAGCAGCCTAATACTCTAAATGCATGTTTCTAAATGTGGAGGGAAACATCGCAGGACCTGGAGAACATGGACAGAGTCACGCAAACTCCAAATATCTAGGCGTAAGGGTCGGGATCGAACCCACGACCTCCTGCATACCAGGCGTGGGAGTTTACATCTCACAGACATCTTCAAAAAAAAATTGTCACTTGGATAACGCAAAAGTGTGTTTTTTAAAAAGTATTTAAACAGATGTCCTTGTTCAAGTCTGATGATTAAAATCAAAGTCAATGAAAAAAAAAACAAGTGGAGTTTAGCTATATTGGCAGATTGACTGTAAAGATGATGAACCTGCAGAAGGTGCGTGGAACGATACGATGCCGGAAACCCACAACAACAGAGAAACTGGGCGCGAAAAAAAAATGTTTCCCGTTATTTTGAATAGCATCGGCCACGCGAAAAATATGGGGGGTGGGGGACCAACCGCTGAGCTTGCAAAAAAATAATTCTGCTTACGGAATAATGTTTGCTTGCAATTGATTGTGAGCAGCGGCATCTTAATTTGGAGCGATACATCTCTCCGCTTGACGATTGCCGTAATGAGGACAACTACAGCTCCATTACTCCTAATTAGCTTCTCCCGGTGACTGCGAGGTAGTTCAGTTTTCCAGCCTCGGTTACAAATTGTGCCACCATCAACAAGGCCAAGACGAAGGTCGCCCTTATAGCCTCGAACGGCCTTTCGGGGCAAGTGCCGCTCGCGAGCGCCTATGAACGCACCGGCGCGGCGCACGGCGGGGTGGGTTGGACAACGCCACGCCCGGCCGCCTTTGTCTCCCTCGTGCGCGATGTTTTCCGCGCACCGCGCCAGGTACTGACTTGAGGCTGAGTCGACCTAGTCGGAGGGCCCAGGACCAAGTTCAGACAATCGCCGCTGGTGTTGGTCGCTGTGAGCGGGAATCGAACCCGGGTGGAGGGCCGGGTTCGCAGCGCGAGGGGCTCACGGCTCACGCTTTTGTTGCCGAGGCACCAAGCCCCTCACTCTCGACGACGACTGAGACCTCAGCACGCACGACGACAAAACAAATAACGTGACGCGACGGGTTTTGTGATTCAACTTCACTTGCCGCTCTTGACTTCTTTTTTTTTATTTTACAAAGCCATTTAGTGTTGCGTGTAATTATTTGGTAAGTTGTTGTTGTTGTTGTTGCTGCCTGTTGTTGTTGCCAATTGCTTGTTGACAATTCGCTTATCGTTAGGGCTGGGAGGAGCGTTGGCGCCGTGGTGAGCGAGCTACGCTCACGTGCCTGGCAAGCCGGGGTTGATTCCCGTCCGCAGCTCGGTGGCGAGTGATGTCTGAACCCCCTACGCCCCCTTCACTAACACGCACTGACCAGCGTGGTGAAGTATAGTCAAACCTTCATCACGCACTGACCAGCGTGCTAAAGTATAGTCAAACCTTCACCAACACACACTGACCAGCGAGGTGAAGTATAGTCAAACCTTCACCATCACACACTGACCAGCGAGGTGAAGTATAGTCAAACCTTCACTAACACACACTGACTAGCATGGTGAAGTATAGTCAAACCTTCACCAATACACACTGACCAGCGTGGTGAAGTATAGTCAAACCTTCACCATCACACACTGACCAGCGTGGTGAAGTATAGTCAAACCTTCACCAATACACACTGACCAGCGAGGTGAAGTATAGTCAAACCTTCACCAACACACACTGACCAGCGAGGTGAAGTATAGTCAAACCTTCACCAACACACACTGACCAGCGAGGTGAAGTATAGTCAAACCTTCACTAACACACACTGACTAGCATGGTGAAGTATAGTCAAACCTTCACCAACACACACTGACCAGCGAGGTGAAGTATAGTCAAACCTTCACCATCACACACTGACCAGCGAGGTGAAGTATAGTCAAACCTTCACCAACACACACTGACCAGCGTGCTGAAGTATAGTCAAACCTTCACTAACACACACTGACCAGCGAGGTGAAGTATAGTCAAACCTTCACTAACACACACTGACCAAGGTGGTGAAGTATAGTCAAACCTTCACTAACACACACTGACCAGCGAGGTGAAGTATAGTAAAACCTTCACTAACACACACTGACCAGCGAGGTGAAGTATAGTCAAACCTTCATCATCACACACTGACCAGCTAGGTGAAGTATAGTCAAACCTTCACCATCACACACTGACCAGCGAGGTGAAGTATAGTCAAACCTTCACTAACACACACTGACCAGCGAGGTGAAGTATAGTCAAACCTTCACCATCACACACTGACCAGCGTGGTGAAGTAGAGTCAAACCTTCACTAACACACACTGACCAGGGTGGTGAAGTATAGTCAAACCTTCACTAACACACACTGACCAGCGAGGTGAAGTATAGTCAAACCTTCACCAACACACACTGACCAGCGAGGTGAAGTATAGTCAAACCTTCACTAACACACACTGACCAGCGAGGTGAAGTATAGTCAAACCTTCACTAACACACACTGACCAG